ACCACGTCGCAGTGCCAAAAAACTTTGCAGCAACTTCCCACCAAAAATATCGCTGCCGTGCTAAAACTTTGGCAGCGTAACCTAAAAAAAAAAATATCGTCGTTGTCGTGCCACCAAACGAACAGCACCTCCCCTTAGGGAGACCTTGATGATGCCACGCCTTCAGTCCGACAGCACTTCCCCACACTCACGTTGAAAAAACCTTCAACGCCGCGCCGTCGATCCTGCAGCATCTCCCCACCGGTAGTGTTGTTGTCACCATGCCAAAAAAAATGGCAGCACTTCTAAAACAGTTGTTGCCGAGTCAGAATTTTGGCAGCGTAACCCCTGACACACTCATGCCGCTTGCTGCACCTTCCAGCCCTGATGCAGCCTTATGGCCACAATACCAGCACGAAGGTGAGGCAGAGAGCCTCCAACCCTCGGCTATCAACAAAAAAATTGTGGCAAAATTTCATCATGGTTTCAACTTACACATAAGTTGGAACCAACGTACGAAAAGGGTGAAAAGGTGCAGCCAATTGTTTAGATGGGCCGGTTGCATGTTTCCAACCGTTTGCCAACATGAGGCCGATATGTTTTCAACATCTGTTCAACATTTGATCAACATAGTTCCAACATGTTTCCAACACGTCTGTCACTTTCGAATTTTATCGAAAGTCCCTCGCGAGGGAGTTGACAAGTGCGTGGAAGTGTCCTTTGAAACGTCAGTCGTTGGTGGAAGGGCAGCCCACAGTAGTGAACCTGGGTGGTTTCTGCGGTGTGAGGTGTTGTGGCGCGTAGGGCGAAAAAAAATAAGTGTTCGACATCAACAGATCAAAAAAAAAAAATGGAGGTTTTGTTGCGAGGAAAAAAAAAAAAAAAAAACAAGAAATTGTGCGAGGGCATTAATTTTAGCGTCCGAGGGCATTATTTTTTTTTTTGGTACGATGGTGCCCCCCCCGTAACTCGTTGATTGCCCCCCCCCCCCCCATCACTTCGTCCTCCCCCCTCCCAAAATGCGCCCTGCCACGTGGTTTGTTTTTTGGTAGAGGTCCGGTGCCGCTACGGTGCCTCTCCATTTTGGCCTTCCAATTTTTTACCGCATTTCGGCCTATTATGCCTCTGTCTCTTATACACATCTAGATGTGTATAAGAGACAGGTGTGCAAGTGTGTTACGAAGAGCGATCAAGCGTTCCACGTGGTCCACCACCCAAAGAAAAAAAACAAAACCACGATGGTTGCCCCCGCCCCCCATAACCTCGTCCTCCCCCCTCCCAAAATGCGCCATGCCACGCGGTTTGTTTTTTGGTAGAGGTCCGGTGCCGCTACGGTGCCTCTCCATTTTCGCCTTCCGATTTTTTACCTCATTTCGGCGTATTGTGCCTCCGGTGCCGTGCGGCTAAAGCCTGGTGTACCACAGGTATGTTTTTTCCAAGGCCGAAGCTTGGTTACCCTAGGCCGAGCCTCTTTTTTTTTTTTCGCAAGTCCCTTTTCTCGGTTTCACAGTACGAGGCCTTTTTTTTTTTTTTTTTTTTGCACAAAGCTAAAACCCCCGTAACGCGTTTTTTGTAGAGGCTCGGTGCCACTACGGTGACTCTCCCTCTCGGCCTTCCTTTTTTTTGCCACATTTTGGCCTATTTTGCCACTGGTACTGTTGAAGTGTGGCTGGTGTACCACAGGTACCTTTTTTCCAAGGTCTGCATTTGGTTCGCCTAGACCAAGGCTCTCTTTCGTTTTTTTTTCAAGGCACTCTTTCATTTTTTTTACCTTCCGGTACCTATTTGTCTTCACACCAGGTTTACCTCATTCTTGTTGACGTTCGTTTTACGTTTTTCGTTGTCTTCATCTACAGGCTCTGTGTTTTCACCATCTCCTTTGTGCTTCCTCCAGTAAGAGCGATTTTATACAAGGCTTGAACGTCTGCAGAAGCCCAGAGAGAGAGAGAGAGATCTTGTGGGAGACAACATCGCAGAGAGTCAGAGAGAGAGAGAGCGAGAATTGTTGCGGGGAGTTGCACTGCTACTTGACAAGGTACGGTATCTCACTCTCTCTCTCCTTTTTTTTTTTTTTCCACTTTCTTCTTCTTTTTTTTTTTCTTCTTCTTCTTCTTCTTCTTCTTCTTCTTCTTCTTCTTCTTCTTCTTCTTCTTCTTCCTTTCTTTTTTTCTTCCTTTCTTTCTTTCCTTATTTCTTTCGTTTTTTTT